TGTGAAATAATGATACCACATATAATAGTGTAGTGATGAATACAAAAATCGATAAACAATCAGTGTGTGTGTTTTATAATAAATGTTACAGAAAATGACAGGATAGCGATAGCGATGACGGCGACAATTTATAAAATAACTTATTACCATAATACATCTATCTGTTTTATTTGTCATGTTCCTTCATGATTACATAACACAAAAATCGATAAACAATCAGTGTGTGTGTTTTATAATAAATGTTACAGAAAATGACAGGATAGCGATAGCGATGACGGCGACAATTTATAAAATAACTTATTACCATAATACATCTATCTGTTTTATTTGTCATGTTCCTTCATGATTACATTTTTTTATTTATTTCACACACAATTATAAAAGAAAAGTCTTAGATCGTTAATTAATCGTCAAAACTATATTATCGGTTCAGAAATATTTAATTTCCTGATATACTTAGTTTACGGGACTAAAATTATAAACGAGAAGAATCGATCCAGAAATATTGCATTTCCATATCGAATAATTTCGCAACGTCACTATTTAGTAGGTACTTGTCATAACGTTGCAACACTGAAATTGTCAAATCTGGAATCGAATTAAAATTCCGAGTATAGTTCTTAGTTAGAGCCATACTAGCCAGCCGAGAAGTCTCTATCTTTATTTTTTTTATTTATTTTAATATTGAGGATTGTCTTCTACGAAAAGCGTATTTATTACCTAGGGTTAGTTTTATTGATTTGCATTATCTACCTATAAATTTAATAGGTCAAAATTATTGCCATGGGTTTTTAGTCTGGATATTATTATGGTCACACACGCTACATAGACATGATACACATTACACACTTCTAATTTTACAAGTTACCGTGAAATTGAATACAAGAAAGAATAAAACAAACTGATTTTTTTCAAACAGCCAACGCTTTACGGATATACTTTTTAATATTCTTAATGACAACCTCTTTTGATAAGAAAGGAGGTAAATTTTTACGCAAAAAATACGAACGTCCAATCAAATAGCAGAAAATTCCCAACCTTATCGATTGAGATTTTATGACTTTCCATCGAATGTTTAGGTACTTATTGCGCAAAATAGTAAGGTAAACATTTAAATAATGTTTATATTAAACTCAATACTAATAAATATGTGAAAAACAATACGATTTTACCTTGAAAATTGAAGCCGATGTAAACTGCAGAGATAGTAAATTTTCACATGTATCTAATCAGTGTTTATAAGAGAAATAAAATTCAATTATTATCCTTACATCGAATCAATTATTTCACAAACAAAATGAACACAAACATCATGCTAGCAGACATTTTATTTTAACTTATTTTTTTAATTTCTGTAAATGACTATTTTGGCACATAGCAAAAAGTTAAAACTAGAAAAGAGGTTGTGAATTTCTGAGTATATGTTTTGTACTTAGGAGAATCTACTATCTAACCAATACGTAGGTACTACTTATTGAATTGTATTTTACGTTTTCGCCCAAAAAAAGGTTTTAGCAGTAGGAACTTAACTTTCTACGCTTACATAAAAGTAAGTAACAATATAATTTACGAATTAACTACGATAAACAAGGTGTTCATAATATATTTAGATACCTAGACTGTAAAAGGTTTTCAAATCGTCATTAGCATTATATTTAGTGAACATTTTTATGAAAAATAGAACGTCTCTAAAACGAAACCTCAATTAAGTTACCATCCAAAACCAATTAATAAATGAATAATAAAACATTTACTCACGTGCCGAAACTACTTAAAGTGAACACGAAATAATTAAAAGCCCATGTGGTGCGTAACAAGAAACTACGTTATACAGAATTCATTGATAGAGAACGTATACGCTTATTGATCCGAACCATTTCATTTAGCACTGCAGTGTATCGAGACTGAGAACATGTGTTTTGTATAAAAATAACACTTCTTATTCACGCTATTCATAATAAACAATACTAAGGAGGTCAGACGTTAACCGTCTTCGCACATGAACATGATAATGAACTAAGATCACACTTAGGTTATTATTAGGTCTCATATTATTCCATCTGGAACCAAATAAACAGCTAGAAGAAATCACAAAGTACTTACTGGATAATATCGTCGATCTTATCCGCTCAATCACAGTTTTTTTTTCAATAATCCGCATAGATTTAAAGCAATATTCAGCTAAATTGATTTTTACTAGATAATTACTACTTAATATCAATAAATCTCACTCTTTTACTATCTAAATTTAACTAGTTACGTACACTAAAACCTTAAAAACTATTGACAGCATTATTCACAACATTGTAGTAAAATTTACAATAATTTACAATGTGACGATACTATTTTGCACGCCGCATTTCCACTGATTGTGAAACACGGAAAACGAAAACGCGCCGTCTAGCCAGCATTTTTCTAAAAGGCTTCTTCCCGCGCATGCGTCAAATCTTAGAGGTTATCTACTTTCCCTGTCACTTTCTCTTCTGGTAGAAAGAGAGGGATGTATCCTAGAGCAACATGCGCAGTGTTATTGATGAAAATTTTGGCGGGAAAACACGCCACTTTGGCGTCACGTGATTGGTTGAAATGTTGTAAGCTGTGTCGTGCGGGTTTTACGAGAAAGATTTTTTGCTGCAGGATATAAAATGCGCAATGGAAAACGATATTGCATGCAAATACTCATACTGACTCTGCGGTTATTTGTTGGCATAGTTTGAATCGATAATGCTTGGTGGCCTTAGAATAGGTGATGCTTGCGTGAGTCCGTATATTCTAGCGAAGGTCTTTGGTTCGATTCCCGGAACAAAACTTTTTTTGTGGTTTTCGATTTGCACACGAAATTCTTTTACGCGTAGCTACTCCTAAACAGCTTAATTTGTACTACGGTAAAAAATTCAATACATACAAATTCGTCATTTCTTGTTAAATTAAAATTTAAACAGGAAATAGTCCTGTGGAACCGTGGGGGGCAAAGATTATTTAAATGATTAATAAAGATCAAACTTCCCGTATTTTAACACAAAATCCTTTATTCAATAACTAACATTGTTTACAAAAATATTTAAACTAACATTTTAAATACATAAGTAAGTACATAAACACATTTACTAAATTAAAAATAAATATAACCCTATAAATTAATATTAGATACCTACACAAACTAAAGTAAACAAGCAATAGTAAATTCATAATTAGTAATTATGCAAGTCACAAATATTAGTATAGGTACCTAGGTATTTTTAAGAGAGTTGTATTAACACCGAAATCAACTATTGTATATTAGCCTTATTTTCATTATAAGAACTTCTAAGTACAGTTACCTACCTACCTATAAAGTAACTTAGATGAAAAAATACAATATAGGTACATAAGGTACGAGAGGAACTACCACATCCTAACCTATTTCTTCAAAAACCATAAGAGAGGTTTTTTTATGGAATAGGAGGCAAACGAGCAGACGGATCACCTGTTGGTAAGCGATCAGCGCCGCCCATGGACACCCGCAACACCAGAGGAGTCACAGGTGCGTTGCCGGCCTTTTAAAAAGGAATACGCTCTTTTCTTGAAGGTTTGAAGGTCGTATCGGTTCGGAAATACCGCCGACGATAGATCATTCCACATAAGAGACATAAGAGAGGTTAGGCATAATTTCTATATAAGTAGATATACCTATACATACGTATAGGTATATATAGGACACAAAATTACCTGTGAATAAGTAAACTCATTAGGCTTTGTTAAAAATTCTTGAACTAACTATTAGTACACTTTGCGTAACCAGGAACAGTTGGTATCTGGTAATAAAAAGGGTCTGGCTGAGGCCCAACTCGATTGCGCAGTGTCCTTTGTAACAGCCAAGTCCTGGCATATGAACGCGGATTCACCATCTTACTATCACTCATCCGCCAACCGTGATCCCAATAAGTACATTCAGGAAAATAAAATCTCTTTTCCGGCAGTAATTTGTACCTCTCTTTCAAGTACAGTTCCCTGCCAAACTTACTGTTCGGTTGCAATAATATTTTTTTGACCTTAGGGTTTATTGGACGCATCTTAGGATCTGGAGTTAGGTCTTGGTCTGGTCTGACGAGTCTGGGATCTTCTTTAGCATCACCAAGGCCAATTTTGACGAGTGAATGGTCATGTAGCATATTTGCGACACCCGGCAAAGTCCTGGCGTCTCTGCAGGGGACTTTTCTGCGATTGACTGCTGCGTTTATATGATCCCTAGTGACCACAGGCATAACTCCCAAGATGTTGTGTCTATACACGTCTTCTACATAGTGGTTCTTTAATTCCCTTTCAAGAGTAACAGCTTTTTTCATTCGATCTTTATTTTTGCGAATCCATTGCACACGGATACGCGTTTCATTTTCATAAGCTTCCTTTAAAACTCGTATGGTAGCGGGGTTTGTTAAGTCTATAGGCATATTGAATTAGTTGATAAATTATTAACTCCCTTTAATATGAAAATAATTATAATATTTTTTATACAGTTGTTCTATTTTAAGTAGGATTTTTTGACACTGAAGTTTAATATTGTTTTTTTTTAGCAAAGCAAGAAGTTTGTGTCTTTGAAAAATAGGTTAACCGTTGTTTAGTTGTTAAAACGCCTTTCCTTATTTTAATTACTAGTTGACCCGGCAAACTTCGTACCGCCTAAAAAATATTTTTCTCACCTTTTAAACCTTCCCTGGACTTCCACGAACATTTCAAGACCAAAATTAGCCAAATCGGTTTAGCCGTTCACGAGTTTTAGCGAGACGAACGAACAACAATTCATTTTTATTTATATAGATTATTTTGTCGAAGTTCATGCCTCAGTCCCATGACGACATGGAATTCTTCCAGTTGCCAGAAAACATCTACAGAGCGCCATCTAGTATGGCCCTATGATACTTCTCTAACTTTGGCACGTGTGTTGTCGTTCGACAGTCCTGAGGTAGCCTTTTCTATTATTGTAGTATTAGATGATGAGTTATATAAATAAAAACCGTATATTATTTCAAAATTTGTTTAATCATAAATAAATAACATTTTTGTTTGGAACAAAACAACCTCCATAATTATTCACACACCATACAACTCGTCATTTAGTGAATTACAATTATTAATTTTCTAATTACTTTCTAATAATACTTACAGTAACCTTAAAATTAATGTTGTACATAGTTTTATAACCACAATTAATTTGAGATTTTCTTCATGTAAATATCTAATGCTTATAGAGAGAATTATTCCAATTACAAAATATATTTTTATTTCTTCAATTTTCTTCATGGAGGATTTGGTCATATTTTTTTATTTAATATAATATTATAATTATATTAATAGAAGATCGAAATAGTGACGTAACAAGTCGAAATTGTTTTGCTTCCAATTTTGAAGCATTGTATAGAGATGAAAGCGATTTCATTGTTACAATAAAAGGTTTTACAACTTTGTAAATAAATATTATAATTATAGATGTCGTACTTCAATAGACTATAATAAAATGAATCCTATTTCATTAGGACTATGACCAGGTCACGCAAACAAAAAAATGCAGTTATTCATAGGGTATTTCACGTAATGTCAATTTGGTTGCCCAAATAATATAACAAATCTTGGTAACCAGGAGCCCTATTGTTCATTAAGGTGTCTTTCTGTAAACAGTATGTTTGGGCGACTGGTCGTTTGACCATGGTGTCCTAATTAAATGAGACCATATCACTCCAGCTAGGCAGATACGTACATAAAAGTGTTCCCTACAATTTTATTGCAGAGGTAACCATACATTCACTAGATGGCGCTGCCGTAGTAAAAGGATAACTTGGAATGATAAATATGAGAGAAAAGTAGGGAAAAACGGAGATGAAATACTTTAAATTTTTTGAATAATTAGAGAAAATATCCAAACTTAATAGGTTTCGAACATGCAGAAAATATATAAAATAGATATTGCAAAACAGCATACCCATCGTTCCTCCTTTATTTCATTTAGCTATAGTAGTGCCATCTAGTAGATAAAAAATATAGACACCTTTACCTCTTAAAAATTGGTTTTCTTTCGGCTGTCTACGAATACGACATTTACAATCAAAATCGATTTTGAATTTCATACATTCAAAGATTTAAAACGAACGAACATAAAACATGATTTGAAAGTCAAATTTTGCAAAAGACTAGAAGAACAACTACAAGCATATGTCCGTTTTATAAATATAGTGCTTACGAAAACATTGCATGAAGGTTACTGTTTGCTCACTAGAATGACACTAATAGTGACATTCTAGTAATATCCTATCACTGTTATTGTCAAAAATAGACTGTCCAATGGTTTGACGTTAGGTATTTCTTCATTGGACAAACAGGATTTTAGTTTACGTAACGCCATCTAGCGAGAAAAAAACGGTAGCCTTCATTCAACGAAATAACTAATAAAGTTAGCTGAACTTTTACAAATATTTATAAAAAGGACATAAACAATAAATTCTGTATGTAGATTATAATTGACATTTTTTTCTATAAAAACTTACTGGACAACACAAACAAAATGGAGGCAAAAATCTATTTTTAAAATCGAAAATAGAATTGGAATGGATCAGAGGGTGCCGTAACTGTCTTGAAAAATCAATGCGAGGCCACAGTTCCTATAAGCAGATAAAATTAATATATCCCGACTTACAAATCGTATTCAGCAACTTGATTTAATTATCTAATCCCGTTGAAATAAAGTCTATTTTTACGTGCATCGAATTACTGTATACAATTAAATGAGTCAGTTAGAAACAAAATTATCCATGTAGGTACAATTAATAGAGAAAACCCGAATTTATAATAAGTACTTAGCAAAATTACAACACGTTAGTATTACAGTATTTATAACATTGATTAATTATTTACAAAACATTACGTTGTGCTACTGTAGAATTATCATTTGACATTACTTACACAAACTGTCGCAAGTGCATTACATAATTCCCCACACACACACACATAATCAGAGGTTTAATAATAGAATTTAATAATAATTTAAATTTCATATGAAATACAAAGTATGAAAGAATTAATGATATATCCGAATAATAAAACAAATATAGATTTTAGTATAACATCTACACAAAAACTTTTTGGTATTTTGGTCATATATCAACTACGTCACGACAGTTAGGCCCTGTTTTGTTACACTTACTGCGGTCAGCGTGGATTAGAGTATTTTAATTATACGTCGAAATATTTATGTTTCTATGAGAAATTGAATATTTCATTAGCTGTAATATTATTATTATTATTATGTATGTATCTTAAATGATACCAAAACTATCGACACACGAAACAACTTCATGTAATACGTAGTAGGAATAGACGAATGAGGTAAATTAAAAACATTACATACCTATTTGTAAAATTTCCTCTTATAGGTACTTAAAATTGTAAAGCTACAAAATGAAGTGTATAAAAATAGTGCGGCGATGGGCATGACAACTTATCGATAATTACGCCATGCGTTTAGATAAATTTCAAATTCGACTAAATCATCTATTTACTAAACGAATATCACACAACTGTCGGTTGAAAATCGCGTCAACTGCATATTATATATTCACGTAATCGCCCAACATTCCAAGCGGACCAATAGACTCATGAAAATGAGATATAAACAAATGGACAACCATGCAAAAATGACAAATAAATTCATACTAAAATGCAATACGAACGAATCATGAATTAACTTTAAAATGATGTGAAATTTATTTGTTAGTTGTGCTAGATGCTTAGAAACTTAGAGTTCTAATTCTAACATCCTAAATGGACGATTTGGCTTCGCTATTGGCCTTTGAAACGTGGGAGCACTAACAGCCCGCCTGTACACTTTATCACATTGTCTATAGCGCGATTTTAATAGTCATTAAGTGGACAGAACTTGTTGGGGTCTCGGAGGGTGAGGACGTTGTTGCACAGAAGTCCTACGACGGGGTTCTCGAGGTTTTCATATTTGGAGTTTGTTTCTGAAGAGAGGCTGACAGCGCCACTGCTATCTCCCTCATACGTGTTCTCTGTGTCATCAACGTTCTGTGAGCTGATGCTGGATTTGTCGTTCCTCTCCGGTTCCTTATCAAGTCCGTAGTCGAACTTTTCCCCGCCGTCGTTGTTGGAGAGGTCTATCCAGTGGCCGCGATTACTCTTTACTCTGTCGAGCATCGGCTGTAAAGCCGGCGATAGAACTGCAAATGCCTGGAAATAAGAAAGAAACAGGTTATAATCTAGTCTCACTATAATAACAATCTGTAGAAAAATAAGGTTTTGGTGGTAATGAAAATCTTACCTCGTAAATAGGCAGGCAGATCGTATCGATGAATTTGACTTGCATAGCAGGGAGTTCGTCTTCTTTATCTCTGTTCATTATGTCCTGGAATTTACAAAAATCATTGTTATCGTTATTAAATAGCGATAGTAATTATCAATTCCTTTAATAAACAAATCTTTATCATACTGAGTATACGCTATAATTATAATCGATTTTGATTGTTTTAACATGAATGAAATGATATACAAAGTCGTTATTAAAACATTGTTGAGTTTGGAAATCACCGGTTGTCCAATTATTATCTATTGATATAAAATTTTATTGAATTGAATTCACTTACAATAGGTGTCAAGTTCAAGTTCTGTCTCTCCAAATCTCCTTGTCGGAAAAATTCCCCAGCTACAAGGGCAGCGACTCGTCGTTCCACGGGCCAAGGTTTAGTGATCGCAGCGAGATCGCAAGCGGTCATCAGCATTGCTCGCAGGAGACCGCGGCGGTCTTCACATTCACCCCAGTTCGGAGTCACTTGTCGCTCCGTGCTTACCAGCTCGATAAAGGCCTTGCGTTTACTGGAAATGAAGACAGGGTAGATTTTATTTATTTAGTGAACAAAAATGCTAGTCATTTTTGTAAAAATCTCGAAAAGCAGGATTAGTCTCAATTTTTCGTATAATCTTTCAACTTGTATATACGTAGAGGTACTGTACTTAAGAGCTGCGTATCCTAATGCCCTAGCAATACACTCGTCAATACTATTATCTCCTACGAATTTAGGAAGGTTAATTTCGAGGTTTTTTTTAAGGATGGAAAATCATCGAATGACTGCTCTCGCCTGGGTGAGGCGGGAGGGAGTGTCAGACTCTTACTGACTAAAAACCACCCCGTTCACCGCGCAGGAGAAGTCCTTCACGTCGAGCCGGAGCCCCGGTAACCCGTTAGGTTCTCCGCGACAATTTCGAGGTTTAGAATTGAAACCTTTAATGAAACTTCACAAACTTTCAAAACGTGTTTTCTGTATCGTGTTAAGTCAATCTAGAACCTACCTAAAATACACAGCCAAATCAGTAGACAGGATAGCATCTTCGAGCACTTTGACGACTTTCTCGTAATCATCCGAGGATAAGTTGAGCAGGATCTGGTTTCCAGGCGAGTTGAGGATCATGAGACATTGGTCGAAGTGGTGATGCTCCATAGTGGAGGTGGAGTACAACTGTGCCAATGGTGACGACGCCCTGGAACGGAAAGAAAGTTCATTAATACATGTATCGAGGTTTACAATGGGAGAATATAGTAATTGCCTCGTTGGCCGAGTGGTCGCAAGTTCGACTGCCGGGCAAGGGGTCTCGGGTTCGATTCTCGGGTCGGGCAAAGTATTACCGGGTTTTTTCAAAAAAATCATTCACGGTGTCTGGAATTGTGCCCGATATATGGCAATAGGCTCACCCCCTATTACATGGGACTCATAACATAAATAGTGAAAAGTGGGTGTTACATTGTACAGTTGCATAATGTGCACCTCTGCCTACCCCTTCGGGGATAAAAGACGTGATGTTATGTTTAATATAGTATTTTTTTTATATTATAATTTTTAAAGAGCGAAAAAGTAGCGCAAAACCCAGATAACGTCAGATGATTGCGTGGCCCTCACCGCCTCGGTTGTCGTACAATGCTGCTTTTGACTATAGGCGCCTGGTGTGGCTCAAAACTGATCTTGTTATCTCGTCAAACAACGTGACAGAACTATTATAAAAGGTAGAGAACTTACTTGATCTGAAACGAATTATTGGTCCCCCGATGATCAAGGTCGTGGCACAAACATCCGATGATGAGCGCCAGGCACTCTAGTTCCCCGAATATCTTCCACCACTGCGTCTCCTGAAGCAAAGCCAAATATTACTCGCGTTTGAACATACTTCCACACATTAAGAGCTAGCAAAGGAGAATGCCCACGGCACTATGGACAAATGTACTGAATTCAACATTGTTGTGTCTCCATGAAATAACCTTTAAAATATTCGATGGCATGTCCAAATACTACCTCAAAAGATTTAACACAAAATACATTGGCATTTTCGAGATATTCACAAAATAAAATTACTATTTTGAGGTTATGTCCGACCAAAAATTAACTGATAAAAGCTATTTAAAAGGGTCTGAATGGGTTTACGGGTGTGCTTGTGCTTGGTATCTTTGAAGCATACTTATTTGTGTAAAATCTGTAACGTGTTAGCTATGTCAAGTGGCCAGTTACTGGTGGACACATGTGTCTACCTCACCTAGTCTTACTGATTTAGATTTTGCGCATTTTTAAATCTAACGCCCGCGTTTCATGAAATTGCAAAGCATGGAAGGAACCGTTAATAAAATAGTCAATAGCTTAGTGTTATATCTAGGTCCTACTCAAATCATAGGTATGGTAGGTATCATGAAATGGCCTTTATAAATACCAGAGGAAATGAAAACAAACAAATACAAATACAATAAATAAAAGAATGATTATTTCTTATTATTATTTAATATGACTGCCGGGCAATGGGTCTCGGGTTCGATTCCCGGGTAGAGCAAAGTATTACTGTGTTTTTAAAAAAAATCTCAGTAGTAGCACTGAGTCTGGAACTGTGCCCGATATATGGCAATAGGCTCACCCCCTATTACACGGGACTCATAACATAAATAGTGAAAAGTGGGTGTTACATTGTACAGTGGCATAATGTGCACCTCTGCCTACCCCTTCGGAGATAAAAGGCGTGATGTTATGTTATGTTATTATTATTTCTTTTCTTATGAGCAGTTGAGACATTGCATCATAGTCGCACTCGGTATGATCGTAACTCAAAAAGTCCAGTTATTAGTGCTAAACAACACACTCGGTGCTGCGGCGTTAAAAGTGTGTTTATTTTCAATGGATTGACAGGAAGGAACTAAAAGGCTCAACTCGACGCAGAACATACCAAAGTCAGCAGAAATAACGTTTGAAATAAATAGTATTGTATTGCAAAAATATGACAGACGCGCAATAAATGTCAAATAAGGTTCTACCCATAATGATGAAAGATCGATTTTTTTTCTATTTCCATAAACCAGCCAGTGGTATTTCACAAAATTAAATACAACATGGTGCTGATGCCGCCGTTTACAGTGAATGTTGTTACTTTATAATAATATATTGAACAATCAATACAAAATATAGAATACAATAAAAAAATAACATTTAGGGAACGGAGAGTGAAGTTCCCTAAGATCGAAAAAGGAGGATCGTTCATCGATAGTCTATGTGCGTAAACTGCCATGCTGTCATTTGACATGTGTCGGCACAGACATACCTATAAATGGCGTACTGTAACGTCGGAAACATAAAATTACTAATTAATTTTCAAAAAACTATTCCAATGTAAATATCATTCAAAGTCTTTTTAAAAATATATTTTTATTTTAGATATTTCATGCCGTTAGAGATTTTGAGACACAAGTAATTTATCAAGAGTACTGTCCATGGGCATTCTCCTTTGGAAATACATACATTTTATTACAACTATTATACCCAGAACGGGTATGCAAATATGCATTCACTTCACGTTATTTCTGTTAATGGATAGACAATGAATTTTCAATGCAAATTCCACCATAGTACCTTTTATTATTCGAATGATATACCTGTATTTATATTTTGTAGGACAATTTTTGTCAAGAATATAGACAGTGTTATTGCTATTGTAGAGTACAATCCTGATGTGTTGATCCTGAATAACTGATTGATATGACAAAACTCGAACGGGGTTCGAAACTATGTCCTCAGTCATCTAGGAGTCTTAAACAAAATCAAAACAAACAAATAAATTCACATAGAAAAAACTCACCGTTAAAATAGCGAACATCATCTGCGCGACGTTGAACGCGTGCCTCCAATTGTGGTACGTTACATTGCGGTAATTCTTTTTCACACTCAACAGCCATCTGCAGAGGACGCTGTAATCTATGTGAAACCGCTCCACAAAGTCGAGGTCTAGGAACATACGGAGACACGCCCTCAATGTGTCGTCGTCCGTCATCTCGATGTCATCGAAGGCGAGCTCATGAAGACTGAAGTGGGCAGACGAAGGTATTCTCAACGTCTGTAAAAAAAATAAATATAAATTACATTAATTTCTATAAAGACTGGATGCTTTGACGTGTCTTATGTGTAGGGTAGTAGCAATTCGTAAAATGTTCGTAAGGCTTCAAACTACAAAATTAAATAACACCCTGGAAACGTTTTATCGCTATCATTCTGAGAATAGTTCCCGTTTTAAATACCAGGACTTCCCAAGGAATTCCTCTAGGGAAACCCAGACGATAAAGTTTATTGTACGTATTTTATTTTTAGATATGGTGAGTATTTATCATTCAACTCAACATTGTTCTAAAAGGAATATTTAATGCCTAACGAAAATTGAAAAAAGAAATAGCAGCATAAAAAATCAACCGCATAAATTATTCCAGATTTCTCCCAATCACACACCAGCATCACACACCAATCACACACAAGCAAACCATTTAGTAATTAATTTAAACAGAGCTGTTTATTAAAACAATTAAAATGATTACCGTCGAGTCGTACGGTAAATGAATGCCCATTATCAATAAATATTAAGTCAATTACGTGAGCATTGCGGTTCAATATGAAATCGTCCACGTGAGTGACGCGTGGAATTTAATTACCGCATACAAGTCTTCAGGTACGAATTAAAATGGCTGAAACAATGTGACCAAGTTTGCAAGAACTTCGAGCTATGCTAACAGGCCTCCAGCGGTTTAATGGAAGTGATTAAGCTCGTAAGTTTTTAGGAGCACGTAATTGTTTTACTTGATAGCGAAATTGTAATAAGAATAAAGTTACATTGTCTTGTTTTACCATTTTATAAATTACTTTGTGTAGTACAGTTCTACCGAGTGATATTTCACTGGTATTATCTTAGCTGCGTGTTTAAAGCGTATGATTTACCTACGAGCCGAAAAATAAAACTATAGGCACGTGTATGTATAATAATATATGCTTCTTAAGAAAATCAACATTATTATTTTGCCTTATTTGAGTATTGAAACAATTCACTTGGTACTGCACTACATACGAAAAAGAATATTATATGGTATTTTACAAGATCAAGTACAATTCATTTTATTATATGAATGCAAAATTAAAACAAATCTTCCTTCTAATTAAATCACTACATAGGCACAGAAAAGCAATTACATTAAAGAATTTTTCGTACAAATTGAATACGAAATCTCATTTCTCACAACGCTCGAGGCAAAGCCGGTAGTACCAACTTTCAGTGAGCAATCATGAACCAAGTTTGAAACAAACCTGTTAACATAAACATGTTCATCTAATTACACTTTGAGTTTGTTAATTATATGACTGGCTGAGGCATTTCGCTCCGAGGTACCAACTTTGTAAACTACAGGCAAGAACATACGACCTGGCACATTCATCGAACGCTTCTGCAATCTATTTAAGACCCTAATGAACTCGATTGTGAACCCTAGACACACCTAGATTGAGTTTATATTCCAGTGTATAGTTAGAACAGATTACTGCATCATGACCATTTGTGTTGTGAACTCACCCGTAGCCGTTGAGCGTCGTCTAATGATGCGGATGCGTGGTAACTTAGTACCTGCAATCAAACAAATTACTTATTCATCTAAAATATACCTTATGTTACTAACATTAGAGAAAATAGTAGGTTAATTCAAGTAAAGCTGTTACAATAAAATTTTAGTAGCGTATAATAATAATACGTTAAGTGTGAAGTTGGAGTTTGGACTAGTGCCAGATGAATGTAGGCGGTTTGTACTATAGAACAATAGACAATTATATCTAGGCCGGTTAGCCTTAAGTTCTACTTAGTCTGAAGGCTTTGACTAAAACAATTAGGACAATTTATTTTTCTACTCTAAATTATAAAGCATTACCAGCTACAATAGTGACGTTTACGGTAGTATCAACGAAAGATATTTATGATCAATTGAATGTAATAGTGATACTAATTTTCATATTGACAATGGCAAAAATATAAGTGCTAAAATCGATTCAAATAATACTCATATTACTATAATAGATGAAACTAAGATACTATGAACGATTCTGAAGACAAAGATAACACTTACATCTAAAGTAACACTCTGCTTCGCCATAGCGGTGATAGCCTTCTCGTACATATGCGTGTTATGTATGCCCATACCGCAGAATATCGCGAACGCTTCAACGAAGTTCTCATCGTTCTTCGTAAACAGGAGCTCATCGAATTTGTTGATTAACTGGAATAGAAAAGTAAAGTTAATTTAAAACAAAGAAATAAATTAATCTATACATATAATAAATTCGTAGGAAAGTGAAAACTGTACATTGAATATTTTTATAAAAGAATGCTCGGGGCGTGATCTACAATGGATACTGAAGCCAAAAATATGGTTTTTAGCATTTTTGCCAACTTTTACATGAATATTACTGATAGGTCGGGTCAACATAATTATAGGCTATATTTTATCACGATATCACCAACAGGAGAGGACCTGTGGATCACTCTTCCACGCGGACGAAATCGCGGGCATAGCTAGTAAGGGAATATTTTAAAATAGACATTTCATATCCATAGTCTCACAGTGAAAGAGTTTAATAATATTTGCAACAAAGAAAAAAATATTATGAATAATGACTGTTATATAGTCGTTTGTCATTATTCTATTAATAATGTCTATTTTTAAAAGATTGTTTTTTACTTCAATAGATCTCGCTGTTATTTAGCGCCGCCTGCTGTTTATTTTGATTACACTATTGTGGTGACATGACGACTAAAATATTAAACATTAACTTTTAAATAATTTTGTTTAGGAGAATAAAATTGTTATGAAGAATTATAGAGTAACAATAGAATTAACGTTTCGCCTGAAACTTTTTAAAGAAACCATCTGCTCATTAAAGTGTAAGATGTTTTAGTATGATGATACATTAAGCTGCTATAATTCGTTTTACCAACAAACTTGCATTAACAACTGTTGTGATAACAAAAACGTTTTCCAAGTTTTATAGCAGACTCACAACCGCAAAACGTCTCCATAGTTTCCAACATTTCTTCGAGCTACTTAGTAGTTTAAGAAAGGATTTTAATTCGAAATGAAGACTCATGCAAATTCTTCACAAAGTAAAATTCAAAACAAATTAAACACATCAGACTATATTACTATAATATTGTAGATGGCTTTGTTGAAGAAAGAATTAAGAAAGCAGACGATTAAATTAGAATTGTACAGTTTAATGAAGATACCATCACCATCATATTATTATATAGTACAAACAAATTCAATTTTTCCACAAATTCAGTCATACAATGATAAATAATGAACAAGCCTACAAACAGCGTTAAAAATGTAACATGTCTGTAATATTTCATTGTTATATTTAGTACATTTTTGTGTTGGTTCATGAAAATAAAAACAAACATAAAACTCCACATTATACAACAACAGAAGCTTTTAACAGAACTCATTCCATTTTCCAAGTTAAACAAGTAATTTGGCAATTTGATAAAATGTTGTACGGAGATTCCTACATATTTTTCCTACATCGATATAAAGTAAGTAGGGAGACACATATGGGCTAAAACCCAACCCTTTGGAATGCTATGAAAGAATGTATCATCGACAAACACAGCGGATAATGCAAACAAAGAATAAAACCACAAAGAGGAACATATACAAGAAATAGGCCGCAACATTTTCACTAATGAGTATTTATTCAAAAAATAAAATATAAGAAAGACGCTTGCAGTCGTAACTTATAGCATTTCGAGTGTAATAAAAAATATTGTTGTCGCATTGCGGAAAATTTTAATGTTTTTATACAGATTCACATTAAACTGAGTTTTATCTTCCGCGTTTGCTATATCTTATTCATTTTAATCTGCCGCCTCTTCATAATCTAGCTTGCTTTATTTCATTTTTACTGTTTTAATATCTTTGGTGTCAAATTCTTTTAACGGTTGACACTGACTGAGTAATTTATGCTTACGCGTTGGAAGTTTTCCCGAGATAAAACTTCGGCGGCAGACGCTTAAATCCAAAATTCAACAAACGAAGAAAACTTGTACATGTCTGTGTACCTACATAATTTAGGAGTTAATTAGTAAAATGTACCTAGATACGAGCTAAATTCTGTCTACTAAGTCCTCATACGCACATACTCTTTGTAGTCTTCCATATCTCCGCATTGCGATGTTTTTACTACAATTTGTAACAACTCTTTGAATTTTTCATTTATTCTACGTGACCAAATTTTGTTAACAACACGTTTTTCGAATAAATTCGGTCTCTGAAATCGTTTGGCTATTTTTATGTGTGCAATTACCATATTTTATCAAATTTTTGGCACTGCCTAGGTAATTAAGTTTACATTAAGCTTCCCTAGCGAGTTCCAAGTAAAAATAAATGCGTCTCTAGAGTAAAGTGACAAAAGTTTTTGTTAAAATCTCAAACTTACCTGAATGACTCCGATAATCCTCCCCTCGGAATTCTTAATGGCCATGCAAAGTATTGTGTTGTGTTTAAATCCGGTGCCTTCGTCGACGGACGGATCAAAACGGGGATCTAAATAGGCATCCGGAATGTTCACAGTCTGAAAACATAGAGAAAATGTTATTCCCACAGACGAAGTGGCGTTAACTGACTATAATGTACCCGCAAACTCTCACTTAACCTTTCAGAGAATGAATACGCTCGCGACCTACACGAGCATACGTATAAACCACTCCGCGAGACAATTTTAATGAACCCCTGTGAATTAGTTGAAAAGCACTTAGGGACTTTGAAATTACTGCATATCTTAGAGCCGTGGAAAATTAATTCTTTAGGAGCGACCTTAGTTTTAGGTGTACAGAATAATGGGTTTTTATTCCTAATTTAAGTTTAGACCTTGAAATCTTGAACGACACCGACAATGTTGAATAACTTCTTTTAAAGTTTTGTATAACAAATCTGTTTACAAAGAATTATTTGTGTGTTCACACCCAATTATCTCCATCTATAAAGCTATCATCTAAGTTTCGTACTTTCTCTCCAGAACAAAATGTTTCTTTAAAACTTTCTTCTCACTTAATGTAACTAGGTACAAAACTTTTTACACAATTATTAGAAGACCGATCACTTTCTAAAAAAGAAAATGAAACTTAACCAGATGACAATTAAACTCAATTCAGAATAAGCTTGCGTTTATAATACCAAGTGTCTACGTGCAAGTTACTTAAGTCTATTAGCTTTAAATATTATGTATGGTCCCCTAATACGTATCATAGTTATTAAGCTGACGTAGCTTCGTGGTCTAACAACCGTTGGAGCGCTGAAGTTGACTAAGATCGTTAGCTAGAGTGCTCTGGGCAAGTCACATACTGCTCTAGAATGAAGTGGGCTTCGCTTCAGAAACAAAAGATAGCAAAGTGGTCAAAAGACAGATTTGTGCAATCAAGAACTAAGCTTGTTATTTAAATTTTAGGTAAATGTCTATATATGTTATTGTTATTACTTTTTACTATTACAATAATAACTTTAGAATTGACTGCGTGTAATTACCCTGTTCCTGTTCAGATTACTTTAGCAACTATCATGTAGGTAAACCAGAAGGATAATGAGAACAAATTAGCTAAGTGTCCCACAAATCCTACAATCATTCTCTTTCTTAAGCTAAAAAAGAAACCAAACATTTTCAAAAAGTCTCACCTCGCCTGTGGTAGCGACATATCCCGTAATGCCAATGTTAATAGGAAACCGACTCTCGTAAGGTGAGGTCCTAGGAGTACCCAGGTCGGTGTCGTCACCAGCCTCCAGGTCGAAGACACGGGAGAAACTTCCCTTCGATGCCTCGTGAACTAGGAGTACCTGTAATGAAAGAAATAAATATAAAATACTGCTAGAAACTAATATTGGATTTAACATATCTAATTTACTTTTCATGTATCTAGACTCGCATTGTTTACCTTTTATTTTTACCAGAGAAGACATTGATTTTTAAAAATAAAAGATACTAAATTGAAAATACCAACTCTGTTTTACATAACAAATTAATAAAAATATATATGTAGACATATGTAGTGTTAATCTGTTAAGTCCACATAAAAGGCGATGGAATATTCATTTTTATGCAATGTTTTCATAAATTAAATATGGACAATCATAGTCGAAACGGCTCGGCACGCATTTCAATATGTTAAACGGATTAAATATTACTGCAGGTACTTCTGAGGACTCCTTTATTTAAATGTAAATTAGGTTTGCATAATTTGGAGCTTGACTACGGACGCGGCATAACTGCAATGCAAGAATCTTAAGCAGACCTCAGATTCAACTATGAGAACTGTGAAATTATTGCAGCTTTTGTACCCATTCAGAATAGCAAATGTTCTTTTTTTATGAATACAAAGTTTGTATACGTCGAAAGTCTCAAAGATTTCAATCCGATTGCACGTTAGAGATTGGATTTTGTTGTTACAAAGAGAGATAGACACTTCCTACTCGCAGTGATTCGTCGCGGACGTACAAACTGGACCCGAGGGTATTGTACCAATAAAACACTAAAGATGTCTGTCTGGCTGCGAACAGAACGCTGTACGCAGGACGCGTAGAAATAGCCACACAAGTGCAATAAGAACACGGCACCTATGATCATCTCCCAGACGATGGAACCGGCCCCGGAGATGTTATTACTTCTCTAACTGACCATTAACGCTGTATAATACTTTTACGACCAACATGATGACTATTCAATGGCCAGTCTTTATACTATACGAGATTCGAAATGCCAGGTAAAAGATATAATATAATTTATGAGCAGAAACCTACAGATATTCTCTCGTAATAGGACATTATCGATTAACTAGTGCACACTATCAAATTGTTTACCGTAGAGGTTAAGCCAAATATTTTAATTGGCATTTACCACAAGCAGAGCACACAGTACCGAAAGCAATATTAAACTTCAATATTGTCTTGTAAACAGCGGTAATTGGGAGGCCAAAAACAAAATTCGTTTCGACCAAGTTTACACTGGCCCCGTCCGATTTAAAATTATTTTTGGGGACTCGATTTGAATGCTAATTTTATTGTAGCCTATATCGTGGGAAATTGACTATGTTAATATTGTGTTGGGCAGAGAACACCTGTTCAAGTGTTCATGGTCCATTGAATTAAGTACGTACGTTTGTAGCATGCATATATGGCATGAGCTTACACCTTTAGAGTGTTATCTAAAATTACTTGCTTCTAAGCTTAGTCAGCTGAATCTAAGTAATTAGATGTCACTGTCGTATCGTAATAATGTTTAGACTTTCCAGCTTCAACTGATCCTTCTAATTAATTTAATGAATTTCCTCTGTCCCGAGATTTCTGCTTGATTTACTAGGATTACGATCGTGATACAGTTATACGAGTAGAATACGAGGGACGCTCGCTGCAATGCGCTTTGTTTTTACTTTACTTAGTTAGTTAAACTCTGTCCGACACCAGCGCTTAGTTGAAGGCAAAATGCCAGCAAATATTGTTTTGGCTTTTAATAAAACAACACAAAATAAATGGAACTCCATAAATGCTAAGTAGGAACCGACGATGTAGAAAACTTTTATTCATTTTAGAAGACCACAATTTGTTGATAGACAATTTTTCGGGCTCCAGTTTTGAAGTCTAGCTTTATATTATTCCAAGTTTAAAAAAGTATTTTATGAAGTTTAACTTAAAAACTTAATTATAAATAAGCTTAGAAAACTGCAAATTAATAATGAACTATGAAGTCGTACCAAGACCTGGCAGGAAAGTACCCGCAGACGTCTGAACGTATTATTTATCATTGAGGTGTTTCTATTAGCACTCCCACTTTAGATGTTAGTCCTACTTCTACCAGAACAAACCCCAACTTCCATTAAAGGACGCCGCGTTATTTCTGCACATTGTTCGTTCATAATTGAGTTTTCCTTGGAAACGATCCAATAAAGTATTTGCCCGAGGGACAGTAGGCTGTCGCGCAATATGATGGGACGCACGTCATTGGGACTTCGATGATCGGCGATAATCTGATGTTTAGTGAATTTGATAGTTCGACGAAGCTGCTATGATGTTTTGTCATTGTAAAAAATGTTTTATTTTTGTCAGAAATGGGGTTAAATGTAATTTTGAGAGCATGTCTGTTACAGGGAAAATATTATAGATGGCACTACAGAGATTTTAAGGCACGTTTCCGTGGTAAGTTTATGGTACGTCCTATCGTAGTTTTCATTAGCCCTGAGTGCGAAGCTACTTTTACAGAAAGTAAATAAATATAATACGGTAAGTAGTAAAAATAACAACATTAGTTTCGCATTAGCTAAATAAGATTAGTCGACATAAATGTCCCACACATTACAAGATCAATTCAAATGTAATTACAGCTTAAAACGGCCACAAAACGTTAATCTAAGTGCTGTTAATGTGTCGTATAAACTTGATACTTGTTTGGAACCTTTTCACAGTGTTCCCAAGGGCGAAGATTTTGTTCGCAAGCTTATCGCTTTCCATTCTCATTAGGGCTCATGACACGCTTTTATCTTGATCCTGTGGACTAACCTGACCTCAGTTTAACTTTATTTATTCTAAAGGTTACATCGTACAATATGCTGTATACTATGTATGTTTGACAATATCTCAGTTCTTAGTTCAGTCGAGGTCGAGCAGATGCAAGTATACTAGCCGTGTACTTTTTTTTTAGGTCAACCCTGGATCGACAAAGTTTTACACAGATTCTCAATTTACAAGAGATTTATAATTCGATATTATATTTATTTATGTTGTGTTAACATTTGTATCAAACTGAAGTCAGATACCTACACGATAAAATAAAATAAACAAAAAAATAAAAATTCCACTTGATATTTCGTTTTCATTATTCCAGTACAGGAAACTCAGAACTTTTCGTTTTTATTAAAAATAATCCGATAGCGGCCGCGCGGCGGATTATGCTGTTGAAAACGTAAAGAGCTTTTGTCAATAAATTTTATCACTGAAATTGTATTTATCTGTAAAACATGAGAGTCTAATCCATCTATCGGAGCCATAAGCCTGTAATACACTTCAAATCCTGTGGGTACTAAGTTCTCAACATTTGTGTGTTATTAAAAAATAAGTCATATTTATTTTCCAATAAAAAAGAAAGTTGGCAGACATTTTTTTTTCTGCAATATTTCAGAGTGTCGAGGCTATCATTCTCATTACTTGAGTGATGGTATCAATCCATCAGTTTTTATAAGACACTTGGGGTAAGACGCGTGATTATTTTTGGACGTTCTTTGTATGGGTGGTGGATATTTTTATCTTTACTATAAAGTGCCTCGTTCTGTGACCAACTAGATTGCTGAACGATATTCCAGTTTAGAGGTATTTAACTAAAGCAAATTTCAGATACTGGCTTCAAAATTTCTAGAAAAAATCTTTATCTTCAAGGGTAAAGCCTTCAAGGTAGCCACGCTATGTTTCATCACAACAAAGAAACCTAACAAGTTTTAGGAAAATCTTCCTAAAAACTTTCCTACTCAACAAAAAATATTTTTACACCACCACAGAACTTAATACAGATTATCTAGAAATTACTAACTTAGCTATTCATAAGCATGGTTGGAACTTAAAAAAGGACAGATACAACCGTTGGCAACTTAGACGCTGTCAATACTGTGCTAAAAAGAGTTCTACAATGTATGCTCAGTATAGAAAGAGGTCGTTTGGAAGAGCGAAGAGCGTTGAAGTGATAAACGACTTTCCATTATGCTTTCCTCACCCTGCAATCATACTATTTGTTGAGCATTTTCAATGGAAAAACATTCACAAACTTCATGCGAACAAAGAGGAACGCTTTTAATTATGTAGCCACGGTCAGTTGGGGCACAGAGCTAATTTCTTCGACGTCTCTGATATCGTTTAAGAACAAGATAAGTCTGGAAAACTAAGGCCAGATAATGACTAGCGTATGTTTAGAATATTGTTGCTTGATTCAAACTAAAACCTAAGGCTGTCTGAGGTGAAGAAACAATAGTTTTAAGAAGTAATAAACACAAAAGTACATGTTTCATGCCAATTGCCGTTTATTTGTAACATTATAGTTTTACGTAAATACTGAAAGATTGCAAAGGAAATTCTAGAGACTCCATAAGGATAAATTAGACTCATACATCGCCTTCAGCATACTAAAGGATAACAACGCTTTATTGCAATGTAAAACTAACCACAAGAATGAATTTTTATTTAAATGTGGGAGGAGCCATGCTTCGACTACGAATGGGCCGGCCCGACCGTAGTGATACCACGACCTCACTGAAAACCGAGGTGAAACCACGTTTACGTTGTATTTCGTCGTGTGAGTGACGTTACTAGAGGCCCAACAATCCGTAAACTCCTAATCCCCAAAAGGCCAGTAACGCACTTGTAACGCCTCTGGTGTTTCGGGTGTCCTAAGGCGGCACCGATTGCTTACCATCAGGTGATCAGTATGCTCGTTTACTGGCTTATCCAATAAAAAAACAACCACTAATGGGTACATAGCCTTACACGTCTATACATTTATCATAATCTCCCATATCCCAAGTTTGAATATACTGGCGTTAGTCCAATACTCTGATACATTGTTCGATACAGTATGCCTAAAACTACTGACAGCCAACCAAAGTCTTAAGGGATAAGTGCCAAAACGGTTTTACGTAAACCATTTGCGTCTTGTTCTGTGCGTAGATTCGAAGATATTTCGAAGTTATATAACAGATTTATTAAGATAATTTGTAGATTATAAGTAAACAATCGTTCAAATAAATATTACAAAACCGTTAGGACTTGTTTGTATACTTTAGGACGCGTAATGCCTATTATCT